TAGAAAACAGATTGATTTATTGATTTCTATACATGTAAGTTCGGTCGAAAATTTCTATATGGTACTTACTTTGCCATGATTAGCAAACCAATCTACTTGTTTGAGCATCTTAAATCTGTAGGAAGAAACATACAAAAGGTTTATGGACTACCAAAAATTCTTAAACTTTGTTTAATAATGTAGTCAGCCCTGAAAAATTTAACTCTTTATATTATGAAGTAGTTGAATAGCTCTTGAGCATACGTATACCATTACAATATAATATCGATAAGTATACCTTGAGAGTTATAATTAGGGTTTATCAGTACAATTATAGATTAAATATTGACAAAAAAACAATGGTTTTATTAGCTGTTAACTTGTCAACCACTATTGTTCGTTCAATAAAAGCCAAGGTTGTGAATCATGGCATTACATAAAAATAACCATATCGCGAATAATTTCAGTTTTAAAACCAAGATTCTTTTCAAATAGATCATGTAACATTAAGTTTCATTCTCTATTAAAACTCTTCTTGGAAAACATTTTTACTGCGAGGATAGAAGATATCTCATGATAAAATAATAATAATAATTGCCCTTGCATTAAAGAGATATAGAATGGAATGTTTTCTGTACTATAATAATGTCAAACTTACTTTCAAGTTTTATCTATTTAGTCTTATTCGAATTTATATGTGAAATTCCTGGCCATAATACATAATCTGCTTCTTTTTAGCGATTAATTTGTAAATATTCATTTAAATTTTGTAATATCCACGTCACTTGTTTTTATCTATTCATTACAGAACATTTATTTACATCATGTCTTATCACAATTATCTTCCCTACTAATATTCATGTTTATAAATGAAGTAAGAATAAGCTTGGTAAAACAAATTTAATAATACTTTTTTTCTAACTAAATTACACGTTTTCTGTACAATAAAATAGTTATGATAATGCGTGGTGGATGTTATTGTAACAAATCAATTGAATGTGTGCACACGTTTACGTCTCAACAACAATAAAAACAACGCAACATCATTCATGCTATAAAGGAAACCCGCATACAGTTATATATATGTCACATATTTAAAGTCAATAATATGATTAGAATATTACTAAGCATTTGTGTAGAGTAGATTTTAAATGTTTATTGATTCAAGGTTGCACAAATCTATCAAATTGTATATGAAAGCCAATCGCTGACTAATGTAAGAATATAGTTTGAAATCACAGCATTTAAACTCCATCAATCAATACAACAGCATATGATTTGATGTGTAACTTTGGTGTTATACTTTGTTGTAATTTAATGCTATTATTAGATTTTATCTCATAGAATAGCATTCAAGGAAATCTAATTAAGTTTTGTAGGCTTAAAAATGAAATTGTACTAAACAGTAATTTCTTTCTAGTATAGGATTTTTTAGTAGTGTACACACCTTTGTATTTAAATGGAATGAAACCAAGGACTTTCAGTTCTCATAATAAGAATAATGTATTTCTACCAGTAGTCTGAAGATAAAAATGGTAGAAACCTTGATTTCAATAATTATATCCTTTGTATTTATTGCCTCTTGACTTTGGATAAAAACGGAACACATTCCAGTCTTAAGTTATGATCTAAGCGGTTAATCGATAAGGTAATGTGGAAGATGGAAGCCAGTTAAGAATAAATATTTTAATGAGATTTATGGATAATAACATGAATAAATGAGTCAATCTGTATTTTTATTGATTCTACAACCTAGACAAATATTTTCGCATCGAAAGCCGAATGACATCCAGTTATTAAGTCTCCGAGAGTAAATTTAATAAAGAGGTGGTTTGAATAAATCGATTGATAGGTAAATAAATGAAATCAAATACCTAAATGAAAGGTCTAATATTTAAAACAAAAAGAACAATGACTAACCAACGACGACTACTGTGACTTAATCGAATGTAACAAAACTGTAGAGATGCAAGATTTACCAGATAATAAAGAGTAATGAAAAGAGAACAACTAAATTCACCATCAGTCTACACAACCGATTAATGTCAGGGTAAATATTTGAAGAATCTTTTTTTCTAACTGCTCATTTACTAAGTACATAGAAACAACCTTTCAGTATAATTAAACTATAACAGTAGAACACTGAATGATAAAAAACTATCCATATCTAATGTTTTATCACGGTAACTTTGTTTAGTAGATTTTACGAGTTGTACACCATTTCAATTTGAATTCAATAACTGAGCTACCTTGTACTGCCAGTACGTAAAGGTTTCTAACTTTTGAAATTGGATGATATAAATGCCCAGAGCTTACTAGATATCAACGATTCTTTAATCGGAGTCACTTTTCGTTGAGAATTACTTTTAAAATGACTTGATATTTGGGGGATATCTCAACGTTTATTTAATAATTATGCATATTATACAGTGAATAGGATTGACAATGGTGTAACTTTTGTGTTATTGTTTAATCATGTAATATATTTTACTGAGATAAATTTTATAAAGCTTAAAAGCCTTCAATGTTTAACAGTGAAGATCTTTTTCGTTACTTTATAGAATGAATACTGAAGATTTTTATTGCTAACCTAAAAGTGACAATCATGTGAATGGTTGAGTGGAAACATCCGACATATAAAATTTTTCTTACCCTTAACTTTGTTTAGTCATATCAACAAATCTTTCTTTCTGTTCTTATGTAGTTATAGTTACTAAAATCATATGTACTTAATGATCACACAAGTCAAGTTTTACTCAGTTAACAATTGATTCTTTAACAGATTATTCTCTCTGTCTATTGACCTATATCATTTCTCTTTAATTAATACTGCGAATTTTGAAAGGAGTTTATTACTCAAAAGTTGTTATGTTTCAAATTTACCTAAAATCTAAACTGAAACTATTGGTCAAACTCATTTAAGTAAGAATGCATTTTGACAAAAATCAAAACAGGATCACGGTAAATATGTGGAAAATTTTAGTAATCCGATGAGTTGGCAGAGTTCACTATTAAATTAGATTATGGACATCCAAAAATGTACACCAGAAAAGTTTTGTTAACAATACTTCTGTATTAATTTCAAGTACTTTTGCAATAGAAAGTCAGCGAAGTTGACATTTAGAACGGGAGTAAATATTATGAGGCAAGTTTCGAAATTGTTTGTGTTGACAATGTTTGAACATTAGACGATGTACATCAAGACTTTAGAAAAAAGCGAAAAAGTTATTTAAACAGAATAATTCATTCGTTCTCCAAAAGTCCATGCATATCATTTCAAACTTCAATGGTTGGATGGTTAATTTAAAAACATCATTTTAATCGTCACGTTAATTAAATTTTTGGACTTACTTACTTCTTTTAATCCTCATGAAGCTGCCGACAAGAAATCCTCAAACAATATTGTCCTGGGTAGTCCTTTCCAGTTGTTTCCAAGTGCTAAACACTCTTTCCATGTCTATCTCCAGTTCTCGGTGAAACGTATCTTTAGTCTGCCTCTTATATTTTCACACTGCTAAGATAAAAATTTACCTTCATGATCTCTATCAGAGTAGTCAGGAATTGCATTTATCACCAACTCTTGTAAACAACCGATTCAAGTCACGATAAAAATATATCCGAGATGTTATTTAGTTTCATATTATATCCCTGAACACAGTACAAAGACCTTAATTGTTTTGGTGAAAATACTACACTATTTGGTAATGTTATCCTTGAGAAAATGCTTTGCACAGTTTCTTAAAGTATTGCGCGGATACTGTTTAAGTATTACAGTTGTCGTGTCCTTGAAACGAACTAATACTGAAAACCTGTCAGTGACAATATACTTTCTCTCCATTTCACTTTAATAACCGAAGCTCTGTCGAGCTCAGCTTACCTGAATAAATATTACTTTTCCGTTTGTTTGCCAATATCATTTCTTAATTATATTTTATTTCGTATCAGATACACAGGAGAGTATTTAAGTGTTGCTTCATTATTGTTTAGAAATTATTCTTCTATATGGAGTAGGAATAGGTAGTCTTCCGGTCTCATTGGTTGATTCTCACTCTGATGTCTGACATGTAAAATTTAATTTGCTTGTAATACATTTTATTTTTCTAAAGGAAATTCAACTAATTAGTCGTAGCTGACTAAAATCAAGTGCCTAGAAAACATACGGTTTCTACTCCTGCACAATAAGACTCATTTTCATCAAATTCATGAAAAAATACTAATTACAAACAGCTTGTAATAACTTGAAAAATACGAAATTTTTTGTCACTTAATCGGTCTTTATTTTTAAATAAGTGCGGAAAACGCTAACGGTACTCATTATTGCTGACATCTCAACAATCGGTAGCATGATTAACTATAACGATGATGATTATATTGAAGCAGAGGTGATAATACAAATGGGTATGTAGTAAACAATTAAATATATATTTGTTTATAGTAGAGCAATGAGTTTCATTCCAAAAGTTCAAAATGAATTAACTTTACGTGTACATTGTTACTAGTCGGAAGTGAATAGGTTCAAGCATACCTAAATCCATCAGTTTCACTATTCAATATATCCTACACATGTATTCTGGAATATTATTATCAACATTTCATACAATTAAAATAATTCCATCCATTTATACATTATTTTTGTGCATATTTGGTCAGCACATGTAGTCCTCATAATAGAGTGTACAAATGAAATCGAATAATCATGATCACAGCTCTTCCAAGATGGTAATATACATTGAACTCTTGTATTTACACAATAAGGTTCCGATTATCAGTAGATTGATGCAAATGAAGGTATGTGTTATCATTATCGATATCGTTATTTGTGATATGCATATAATCTTCTCTAATATCAACTTATGAAAGACATTGGCTGTTCGTTTAAGAAAAACGGAATTATTTTGAGCTTTATGAAAACATTTTTGTGTCCATATCTCGAAATAAGAAAGGGGAAAGACTTCGGAATATTCGATAGCATATTATTCCTTAATTTTGTTATTTACTCATCATTTCTTGCATGCAATAATTCACCGTCTTCTTAGAAAACAAAAATAGTTTGAACTGGAAATACGTCGTTTCAGCCCAGAGCTTCGACGTGTAATAACTGAGTTCCCAGTTACTGCACCGTTTGAAATTGATTTCTTTCTATGGATTGGAAGTATGTTATAGAATTTCGATGCTCGAGTATTTTCTCTTTCTACATCTAGTATAATTCGTGCGGCTAATTCAAACAAACTATTTACATTGGATCTTGTCAAAGCAGAACATTCGATAACAATTTGTGCACCTATTTGTTTACTAACCTTTTCAATGTCATTTGGATCGATCAAAGCTGTCTGTGATGCATTAATAGTTAAATTATTAGATTTTCCTGGTGCAATGACCACACGTTTATCAGCTTTACATCCGACCAGTATAAGTGGTATTTGTGGACAGTAGCATTTAACTTCATCTAGCCACGTGTGCACAATATTTTCCAAACTAGTTGGACAATCAACTGCGTAACAAAGCATAATTAAACTTGCACCAGGATATGCAAGCTGCCGAATTTGATCAAATTCCTCTTGACCCCCCGTATCCCACAAACCCAAAGTTAAATGACGACCATCTGGCAAATCAACTTCTTTAGCTGATGTTTCAAATACTGTTGGGATATAGCAGTCCTGAAATGCACCATTTACAAATGCTGACAATAAAGCAGTTTTTCCAACCATTCCATCTCCAACAACAACGATTTTCCGAGTTGTTTCAGTCATTACTACTAAATGGATAACTCGTTTTAATCTTCATATTGATTCCAATTAAATTATTAATTTAGTGTCATAAAATGTGAATGAGAAACTGTTTCATCCGACTACCATATATTCGGACTAATTTAAACCAATAGTACTTTAATGCTTAGTATATGCTCTATCATTATGTAACCTTGAAAATTGATTGGTTCATTTTGAGTGTGGTCAACATTTTTATTCAACCAATCAGATGACCGTCTTAAATATCTGACCGACAATAAACTGTTCTTTCACAAGACTGATCAGGTTACAGTTGTTTCAAAATTTTAGTTAAAAATACATCACAATCATTGTAACAGATACAAATAAGCTGAAATTTATTTAGTCAGAAGTTTCAAAAACTGAGTGAATAAAAAAATATGTTTGAAATGATTCAAAGTGAGCAAAAAAGGCAAAGTTTCATGTATCTAAAAGAAAAGAAATCACCCTCATTTTATGATGAAGTTTCGAAGGAAAGAAATGTTTCAGAATTTTAGTTCAAAGGACAGGTATAATCTGAGACACAGATTTTCTGATTAGGAATCGGTATAATTAAAAGAATGATTAAAATGTCTGATACACTAGAGCATAAACTTTTGAAATCTTCGTGAAAATAACATAAAGTTACATAATTACTTTCCTGTTAGTTGGTAAATATCATAGGATAACGTTGGAGGCATGTAATATAAGTATTGTGCTGAAAGAGATGTATAAAAATGTCTTAACTTCTATGAAATCAGATAAACTAGTTCATTTCTAAAATAATCGCAAATTTCCTGTTCACAATTTATTCAAGTGTTGTTTAAAGTAAGAAAAAAAACTTAAAGACAACAAACTTAGTGGTGTTAACTGAAGGACATATTCAGAACTAATCAGCAACATAGAGAGATTTCTTCACAGTAAACGACCACTTATTCGCATTACGCTTCCCATAACTAAATGAGAAAATGAATCCTAGTTTTTCAGATCTTACGATGAGAACTTTAACACAGACCCACTAAAAGTATTTGAACTTCACTATTAACAGTTTCTGATAAATACTTCGAACATTCATTTTGAAGTTATTCATTAGTAAGAATACTACTGTTATTATGAGTATGGCAGGAGGGATTAGGTTTACCGAGATTTCTTGTCTATTAATGGAAAAATTACTACAAACTATTCAATATGGCATTTTAATGCATAGAAATCAATTCATTCCCTTTATTTAACGCAACCACGTATCAGCATTATGTAGGGAATGCTTGTAAGAATTTGAATGAAGACAACTTATCAGGAGATCATTTATTGCTCTATACATTTTTTGTTTACCTTGAAGATTTTGGAATTGTAGAACATTATAAATCAACGGATAAATCACTCATTAGTAATTGAGAAATAAAATATGTATTTATTTCAATGTAAAAAGTAATGAAAATCTAATATGAACGGGACATTTTGTTTAACCCAAAAGTAACTTATTACAACAAATAATGTAATGTACAGCTGTAAATTTACTTCAGCCAGTGGAAAATTTATAAACAAGTTTAGCCGTTTAGCAGAGTATCGATTTTATAAGTTGATTGATTATACCCTCAGTTGACATACGTAAAATTGTGCGAAACAAGATTATTTTGTAATTTTTTTTGGTATAGTACAAAACATCACAAATTTTTGTGTCATTCCAAATGTTTGAGTGATTGCACCACCAAATAAACATCTTTTGAGATTAAAATCATAAAACCAACGACTTACCACTTTTCAAGGCTTCAAGATGATTTAGGCAGACACAAACCTGACTAAATAGATTGGAGTATGAAGGACATATGATTCGAATCTCGCAAGCGGGATCACGGGTGCGCACTGCTGGGGAGTCCAACAATAGGACGAAACGGCCGTCCAGTGCTTCCAGGTTTCCAACGATGGTCTAACATAAATTGGTTCATGATCTCAATCAGAAACTTAATAATCTCTACAACCCCTATACTGAAAATGATTTTTCTTTACTTTTTTGTGATGTGTAATCACATCTTAAGAGTGAGTAGTTATATAACTTAACCATCTAGTTAAGTCTATTAGTCATATATGCTTGATTGTATGATGCTGTAAACATATGTTCACACAGAAAGTCATTGGTTCGTTGATATTAAATACTATTCAATTCAAACATGGCAGTTATTTTAACTTAAAAAAGATCATATAAAAGGTAGTGCATCCATGTATTATTTCGATTTATTTTGTGGGTCATTATCTATCGTGTTGCTGTTCTGAATCGAGTCATTCGAGTCAAGATTTCTGATATCAATTACCAATTTTCTTAAGAATTCCGCAAATTCATTTGTTACTTCTACTCATTTTAACGAAGAATATTTTTGTTTTAGTATTACTTATCGGATAATATTTATATAACCACTTGATAACTCTGCTATGAAGATAACAAATCAAGTTACATAAAGATGAACGAATTTCTTACGGTATATTGATAGTAGACATTTGAGCGTAATCTACAAATAGTTGAACTTATAATCCATTTTAAAAAAGGTATTGAGATTGACTATGAAAGCTTTGCAGAATTAAATTTTTCAGTTTGAAAAAATATACCATTACCAAAATGTTATACTGAACTTCTTATGTTGTTATTGAGTTCCATTTCGAAAATACTTAACAATAGCCATTGTTTACTCTAGATAACGATCGAACCCAAGAAAATCTCATTTAATTCAGAAGTAGAATGTTAATTAGTAACAGAATAGTAATTCAATAACTGATATACTTAACCCTATTTTGAATAGAATCATTAAAATATATACATAGTCTTAGAATATGTTGATAAATTACCTTACATACTTACTTAAGCCTGCTACTTGTCGTGTAGCAACATCAGCCGCCCAACAGCATTTTCCACCCAACTCTGTCCTACTCTAACCTTTCCAGTTGTTTCCATTTGCTATTCATCCTTTTATATGCTTCCGATTCCCGACATAATGTTTCCTTGTTTGTTCTCTTTTTTTTCCCTTCAGAATTCCAGGTTAGGGCTTACCTTGTAGTGTAGTTTAGTGATTTCCGCAACGTATGTCTTATCCGACTACACCGTCTTTTTCTAATTTCCTCTTCAGTTGAAAGATGGTTTGTTCTCTGCCTTAATCTGAACAAACCTCAATATGAACAAAAAGAAGCTGTTAATGAAGGAAAGACTATAACAAGAATACCGTTTGTTGCTTCCTATTGACTATGATTTTGTTAAAACAATAAATGCAATGTTTTATACGCAGTGTGAAATGACGAACTTATCAAGAGGAACAATAACAAACTTAATTAGTAAGATTTATGATTTAATTAGTTAATAAAGTTGTAATGAACACAACTTGAATGTGTCAATCAACGTTAATTTTAACTGTAAACTCTAATATAATTTCACATTACTTTTAATGATAACAACATACAAGTTCTGTGTTTGCACGTATACTCACATAAACAAACATAAACATAATTAATCACGAATACAAAATTACAGACAATTATTAACAATCATCTAGATGTATTGTTGTACAATCGTCCTATTGACATTTTGTCGATAGATACTTTTGGTTGAAATTATTCATACTACATAGAATTTATAATCAGTAATTTGATTTAAAATGGTGTTCATTATGTGTTTCTTTTTATTATTTATGTGCTAATGAATAAATTATTTGAGAGCGAAACTGGATAGTCTGAGAGAAATATTGGTAATAAAATTAATAACTATTGTTATGACCATAGAACTTCCAATAAATGTATCATCCATATACAATTTTTGTCACAGACATAATAAATATTCATTTAATTGAAAATTGTTCAGATTAACTAAAACAATTATGTTTAGTTGTAGGTAATTTCGATTCTCTTCTTGTGTGTGGTCTAAATGGTTTCATTTTGTTTTTTTACAAGAGAAGGGTTTTGTTTATTGTAGTATAGAGTGAATTAAGTCTATCGGTGTTATGATCTACTGTATGACAGATAATATTATAATCAGTTTAAAGAAAACACAGTGCTTATTTTAAGTGGTCAACCATTCGGAAAATTTAATAAGAATATTGTTGTGCAAAGATGGAAGATTCATTTATGCTGTAATTATAAAAAAGATAAGTAGTTCGATCAGGTACAAATAAAGAGATTTGTTTGTAATTATACTGGTTGATGTTTATTTTATTGATATCTGCCCATAATATTTTAGTGAAGTAAACTGTATTTTAACAAATTTATGTTGACATTAGAAAAATGATTATACCAGTCAAATGAATAAATCTTGCACATCGAAATTTACCTAGTGAATCTTTAGTGTTTCTATAGATACCTCGGTGTGTTTTGTTCTGCAAAAATCTTTTCATGCATCTTAACTCTTGAATGGTATTACAATTTATGTCATGAGATGTATGTTTCAAAATTAAATTATAGTTTAATTAATATTAACTTACATAAGTAAAATATATCCTTATATCTTGTACGTTAAAATCGATGTAAACAACGAACAACGATCGTCGTATAGAATACTTATTTTTTTAAGTAGACACATTATATACCCACCTTATATTTTCTGAAATCTCAGCAGAATAACATTGTAAGTGTAATAATTATTTGTGTGCTATAATTTAGCGTGATTTAAATAAAGATAACATGCATCTTAAGAACACTGTGAATATAACTCTGATATTCTTTGGATAGAGTTAGAAATTATCTCAGAATAAACATTTTTAGTCATCTAAGCATACAGTGCAAGTCAGTGAAAACAGTAACAATCTGTAAAGCACAAACAATGCCTTTACATTAGTTAAAAGTATAAATAAATGTCTTTCAGTGGAATGTATGTTACTTCTGTGATTAGTATTGATTTTGATAAGTATAATTTTTAGACGTTTAGATTTGCTTATTTTTCACTCAGTCTTTTTATTTTCTCTGAAGATTGCATTTTCAGATGAACTATGATAATATTTATTGAGAGGAACAGACAGTAGATTATCAACATG